AAGGTATGTGTATTCATTGTCATGTGCACCCATTGATGAGGGTAGGGGCCTACTCTGAGTAAAATGAGAGCAAGGTGTGTGTACTCATTGCCATGTGCACCCATTGATGAGGGTAGGGGCCTACTCTGCTGGACATGATGGACTGGCCATGAGGTTACTATCGCATGTTTATGCATCCTTAGAGACTGTTAGTGACCAGAATAGAGTCCTAATATCCTGAGGCTATTGAGTACCAAAGTGTGACATCATTTTTAAGTGCAAACGAATTGAGTATGTGTGCTTGTCGGTGCACATGCTGGTTCTTGTGTTAATTCCTTTTACACACACAAATGTGCGGGTGATGTATTTACTTTGGTACTCTATATCTCAAGGTCAAGGCAGAAGTAGAACCCTGTTCTGGTCACCTGATAACCGATGGGCATAGATACTGTATGCACTAGAGACTGAATATAGCAGTGTACATGTGTTTACTAACATGCCTCCATCCAAAATATAAATGCCACATTCATACGTGGGGTGGTGATACCCTACGCTGGTGGGGTACGCCTAGGTTTTAAGTTAGGGATTGATCTCTCGGGTGATTAAGGTACTCCAATAAAGATCAAAAATTTGCACAAGGAATTATTCTCACTGTATATTAGAGTTGATTTATTTCTATTTGAAATCAAGTAGAGAAATTTAGGACTGCCCCAATATTAAGATAGAGAAAATTTACACAATTGTGGAATCTAATAAATGGAGTTGGCAATGATAAAATAATTGATATGGATTGATTGACCAGTAATGGAAAAAGAAGCTTATGCTGTGATAAATGCAAGAGTAAAAAGTTAAGTCATAAGATGTGGCAGAGCCAATGGGCAAAGGGAAAAGACTAAAAGATAAAAAGGCAAAAGGACACTCTGTAACCTGCTCTCTCTACAGAGTTCAGGCCCTGACAGAACAAACTCCTGCTAGAGAGAGGCAGATTGTCATGCACAAGAATACGTTCATGTGTGGTACAAGCTAATGGACTAAAACCTGTTGTTGCAGACTAATATTGATGAGGATACGATTAATTTATGATTATGACCATGAACAACCATTTGGGTGACTCTACACAGAAAATACAACAATTTAAATACAATGTCGGGACTATGTTGGATGAGTAAGAACACTCAGGGTTTGTAAGAAAGTGCGTGGTGTGGAACCCTGACAGATCCTTAGACTTGACAAAGTCTGACCACCACATAAATTTCTTTTTAGTAATCCAGGGATAATTCAATTCAAAACTTTTGAGCATAGTTATACAGTACGTACATGTAGGAATTTATGTATACATGGTGCAGTTTTGTAATGAGTCACTAAGTTTGATGAGTCGAGTCGAGTCATTTTAACATTGTGACTCAAGTCGAGTCAAGTCATTAAGTACTGAGCTCGAGTCAATTTGAGTCACAAATCTTTGAACAAATTACACTCAAAACACAGCATGTAAGTCATTTTTTGGTTTGTATGCTTTCCATGCACGGAGAAAGGAAACAAGACTGGCGCTGTGCCGCCATACTATGTATTCACAATCAATATAAGAGCTGCGCTAGGAGTCCAATTTCAAATGTATTTTTTTGCCCCCAAAATTTTGCTTTTAAATTTTTTGAGACTCTAGTCTTATAAGCTTGTAGTCTAGTCTCGATGAGAGATTCAAGTCCAGTCATTTGGTCGCAGAGCCTTGGTTGAGTCATTTACCTGTTGACTGGTGGCTTGAGTTGGACTCGAGTCGAGTCATGGACTCAAGTTATAGCAACTCTGATGTGGTGTCTTGATGCATGTCTACATGTAGTTTATACTTACCCATTCATGCACTAGCTGGTATTAGTGAACCCATGACCATGTTTCAGCCAACCAGGATTAAGAACTAGTGAGAGGTGTGTTATAAAGTTTGGCTAAGTCTGATCAATGAAATGTAGGAACTAATGAATGATGGTTTGACTAGATTAGATAGCTATTCAACACCAGCCTTTTTAAATTGATCAATATCAAACTGATTGCCTTTGATGTCATCTTTCAGGTTCAACTAACTGTGGATATTGCAGAGCCTTTGTGGATCAACTTGACCAAGCCGTGGAGTCTGCCCGACTGTTGGTGGACACCTGGCAAGCAGTGCTATCAAACCACATATGAAGGTGTGTATGGGACCTCTTTGCGTGACACTTTGCAGCAAGTACATGTAAGTCTGTAGGGGCAAATACTACAGAGATTAAATTGTAATAAATCTTATTCACCTGGCAAGGTAGGA